GTTATTACAAAGGTGTTACTAGTTTAAATGCACCCAGTGAGGTTTTATTTTTTAACTCAGAACAGCTTTTTAAGAACTATAATTTGGGTTTCAATTTCCTACTACTTGAAATGAATGTTTTACCAATATGAAATCTAATACGATATATATGTTTCATAAGCAAATGATAAAGTAATGCCATTTGTTATAATATCAATAATTTTGAATTTTTTTTTACTGAATTAAGCAGGCATCCCAAGACTTTCTGTGAGCACCGTATCCCCACTTTAGATGATACCCGCCATACTATAGTTGATTTGAGCTACTGAAACCAAAAAAAGTCTGGGAAATAATGCCAGCGATCGGTGTGCTGCCTCACAAAGACAAAACGCAGTAACTATGCTCACAGTGAAACTGAGAAAAAGGGCCTTGGTTTTAGGGTGGATTTACTGTAATTTTAACACTCTGTTTTTAACACTCTGTTTTAACACTCCGGAGTCTATAGCAATAAGCACTTGTTCCATCATTCATCCCTCTGCTTCTCTGCCAATTGTCTTCCTACCTAATTTGACGAAATTCAAGTACACACAACAAAAGCCTGTTTAACATACGTGGTACAATTACACGGTTCCAGTGAACCAGAGGTCAGAGAAAGGTCATTCCACTGCTTTGTTTAATGTATATATATATTTTTTTGCATAACCCATGTAAAGCCCTCCAGGGCTGAAATGGGTATTTGTTATCTCAGTGAAAACATATAACAAAACAACACCACATCTAGCATCATGAGGAGACATCTGCCAATGTGTTGGTCTTTCCATTGCTAATAAGACAAGCTTGGAAAATAAAGAGTTTTATAGAGAGCGGGGGGGCGGGGGGAAGGGCTCAGTCTCCTCTCTTTCTCTACTGACAAAAAGTCTGCTGTCCTGAAGAGTGAAAGTCTCTTAAAGTGATAAAATATGATAATCATAGAATACATGTCACATTGCCAAGCTATTATTGCACCTCATGCATTGATTAGAGCAAAAAATTGATCCTTCTTGGCATGGTGATCTCAGTTTAATAAGCACAGGAATAACTATAGCTAAGCATAAGAACATTTCAATATGTATGCATCTATCCACTTGAATTATGGATCCTTAAATAAGTCTTTATATTCAAGAATACAATTCATGCTCATGTAACTACTTTTAGACATTTTGTTTATGCAGCATCTACTAAAAGATGCAACAGTTCCACGCCCAAAACCACTTTTCCCCCATTTTACTATTTGTTTTCTGCTTTGTTTTCATATAATTCAATTATTGATATATTTTTGTTCATTTTTCTTTCTTCTTTTTATGAGTCTCACCATTGAAATTCATGCTCTCAAGGACCGGCGCTGTTGAATGGCGAGCAAAGAAAATAGGCAAACCTATTTATTCCCAGCTTTTGTTTCTCTGTTTTCTTCTTTCGGAGAGACCGTATTCCAGGAAAGATGACAGCTGTCTCCTGTCCATTAGCATTGCAAATGAGGAAGATGTTGAGAGTCCTCCCTGCAATACCTTGTCACAGAACTCCCCCATACAGAAATACACAGACACACACATTTCCTATTAACAGGCCTTGCTGGATTTCATCCTGAGACTCAATTAGCCCAGTGACCAAAGACCTGGCTTTGAGAGCAGAGGTCTCTAAGCAACAAAGGCTCGCTGGAAATCGAAATGGGCTTTACTCTATCGCTCCTCCTCTTACTGACAAAACTTCACCTCCTTTGTGTGTGACTGTCCCTAAAAACAGTGTGCATACTCCTCACGGATCCATCTGCAATAACTCACACACACATCCACATCCTTTTGTGAAAACATAAACACCATACTGTAAAACAGTGTGTTTGACAAACAACCCAATGCGTGTTTCTACTCAAGGGTAAATATAATTATCATTAATAGAAGTAAAGGAAAGAAAGATAAGTAATTGTTCCCAGTAACATCTCTAAGAACCATTGTCATGGTAACCAGGGAGTTCGAGCAAGTGGCGATTCTTTTCAAATCCCCCAGACTTGAAATGAAATAAGACAGATATTCAGAAACATCTTGAGAGGTAATAGGAAAGTATGTTTTTCAAAGGGGTAAAAAAAATACACAAATCTGTGTGCATAAAAAAATGAAAGATTATTTCCAGATATTATCATCACCATCCAAATTGTGTACCCATTTATGCTATTCAGTGTCATAGGGGTACAGAGCCTACGGGCGCAAGGCAGAGAACAGCCCAGGATGGGGCACCAACCCATCACAGGGCACAAGGCAGAGAACAGCCCAGGATGGGGCA